GAGAACAAGAGAATGGAATAGCCTATTTGGTTATTAATCTGATGTATATGTCATTGTAAACAATCATGACAAATTGGATGAATAATGATATCGTCGACCTCACTGTACATATTCACTACACTACTCAATCATCTCACTTGTGTCTCTTACTTCATAGAGAACATAATCTTATGTAAAAGAGAGGAAGTGAAGATACTACACTCTGATTATTCACACCATCATGCAATACCTTATAGAATAGTAATCATTATAATTCTAATCTAATTGAATTAGACAGATATTAGTAATCGAAGTGATAGGAATTCATACTGTACAAGACTCATTTTTTGAACAAAATTTGTAAAGTTAATACACTATTTCCAATGAAATAGTTTTCTATACCAATGCTTTTTTTTTTGTTATGCATTGTTTTATTAAAACCTAAGGAAATATTTCTACTTGATAAAGCGAAAAGACTTTTAATGAGAAACATCTGCCATGTTATATACTATATTCAATATTTTTCTTTTTGTGATTTTTCATGTTATTTCTTATTTACATTTTGTCATTCTTGAGATAGTCTATGTAATTATAATTTTGCTAACAACATATTTCCGAAATGTTCCTAAGCTCTTGTATAAAACTTTCACTAGTGATATTTGAAAGTCATGAAGTTTTTGTTTCATAAATTATTTCAAAGTGATAAATTATATTCATATTATTTTAATAATGCAATAATTATTTTTCTCGCATTAGAAGTAGCGCTAGTATGACGAATAGTAAATAATTATTTTCATTTATGTTTCATATTTATAAATCTTTATATATAGATGTAACATGTACAGAATTATATGAATGATGAAAAATCAGAACGTTTTCGATTTCTAGTTTTGTATTAAAAATATTGAAATTTCGAGCATGAAATTTCTGAAATCGATATATGCTACTATGTGACACAGCGCATCATTAATCAAATTTCAATAATTCAACATATATCAATGTATGAAAAACACAGTTTTTCATTCATTATACTCAAACATGATTTGAAATTCAAAATAGAGCGTTAGGAGCAGTATGAAAGAACAATAGTGAACTATATAGTTCAAGTAATGCAACAATGGAGAACACCTGACAAAATTTTTGTGGAAAAACTAAAGCTAATTAGACAAGTGTAGCATATTCAAAATTAGTCTTTGTTTATGAAGATCAAAATCAAGTTTTCATATTACAAGAAAATGGCTTTTGTGAAAGTAGCTGCTGTTATATGTTTATTCACGTGTTACATTTATAACTGGAATGCGTATCTCTACGCCGTTAGACAGCGCCTAATGAATAGAGTTTCAATGAAGGTTACTTGTTAATCATGAAGTTCCAATGCCTATGTATGAAACAATGAATCATGTACGCAAATACGTTTAAATATATCAATGCCATTTTTTCCACGATGCAGGCAATGAGAGTAATTAATATTTAAATGGTCACCTTCAATATATTATTAAAAATACAGTGATCGATGTATATCATTAATTGTATTTGATATCAGAGTCATGTGTAGTTTTCATTTCACCTGTATACGATGAAGAAAGAAACACTTTTTCAGACAATTTTCATCTTAAAGACGAAGGCAAAAAATGGAAATATCAACACAAGATCGATTTTAGTCCATACTTTTGTTTCATTTATAAAGGTTAAAAAGCCACAACGAGCAGTTGTTCCAAGTTTGTGTTCTCCGATCGAATGGTAAGACTTTTTCGCTAAAGTGATACATCTTTCTTGTCGATTGGAAAACATTTTCCCTATAGAATGTCTCTAAGGCATGCAATCTAGTCGAAAGTCCAACAGATTTCTGTTTACAGACACTCATGAGTATCTTCATTGGTTCTTTATTAGGAGTAGTACTTTAACTTTAAAAAATACTTAAATGAGTAAGAATTTCAGAAATAAATTAAAAAAAACCTTAAATTTCAAAGAAGTTTTTATTGCTTTAAATAATATTTAATTTAATGTACATTAAATTTAAATTTGTTTGCTTGCTTCTCGAAATTGAAGCAACATTTTATTTCGATAGTATGTTATCAAACATATGTTTATGAGTATATTCGTGTCATTGGAAAATAATCGGAACAGAGAACAGCTGTTTCGCACGGAGACTTTTATTTTGATGATCCGTATTTGCCATATAATACCAGTTTCTTATATTATTTCTTATTGTTTTTTTTTCAAGTCATACATTTGACAAAAAAGGGGTGATCAATTTGCATTTAGAAAAATATATGAAATCCAGAAGTAAATTTTAAAAACTATAAAAAAATTTCAATTTTAATATGAGAAAAATTTAACTTGACAAAACGTAATTTATTTTGATTTTAAAATAGATAAGAATTTCACGAAAAAAATAAACGAACAGAAAAATGTCACCCCAACTAATAAGGCAGTTAAAGTAGCAATTTTTCCACTAAAGTGGAGCATTTTTTCAGAAAAAAACTTGCTTTTAAAGGTTGATAAAGAGTCTTCGGAATGGAACACTTCAAATCAAAAATCGATTTTTCTCTCTTCAATTATGTTTCTATTCAATAATTCAGTGTGAATCATTTTGTGAAATATAATTGGAAATGAATGTTAAAGTACATAGAAGCACAGATCACAAGAGACATTTAGGTCTGTTAGTTCATTTCACCGTCGAGAATAGTATAATCGATATGAACAGAACTTTCATTTACAAGTAGAACAAACACATTGTGAGCGTAGAATGTCAAGAATAAAAATAATATTGATCTGTTTTAATAGGTATATTGCTTCTATTGAATACTCATACAAAACTTAAATTAAACTATGACAACAACCAGACAAACAACGATGGTGTCAAGGATCAAAGAAAATGCATGGCCTAATCTATCTTCATCTCAAATAACTATCATTGTAATACTTAATGTGAGTGCATTATTTATCAGTTGGCTTGTACTACGAATTATTTTTCGTCCTCCAACATCTGAAGAAATTGAACAAAAAAAAAAGAGCTTAGAAAGAAAATATTAGCATTATAAGATGAATACAACAATCGCAAACCCTTGATGAATCAAAAGTCGTCCACTATTGAATGTTCACCAGGTGATGTGTTTGGTGATTATTCGAAACCATGGAAGCAAACTATAGATTTGCTCATTCTCGTGATCACTCTATTATACAGTATTGCTGCAATAGTCTTAACAATAATTATCTATCCAAAGGCCTTCATTACTGCATTGTTCTTGCTTACTCAAGTAGTTATAGTATTGATACTTTTTTGTGTTTCGTTCGTTTGCGGACTAATAGCTCGTTGCTTTTGTGATCATGGCGAAAAAGGTTATATAATTACTAATAATTCATCTCCTTTTAAAGTGAACTATACGCGTAAGATCGGTCACATGACAGCTATTTGTGCTGTATCATATGTCCATCTAGGAAATACTAATGTTCCAAAAGTAATCTATAGCATTTGGAGCTTCGAGTTAGTTCTCTTATCCATGGCAATTATCATAAAACCATTGAGAGAACGCTTTCGATTTATTATGATCCTTTTCAATGCAATTGATCGACCAGAAGATCGACCCAATACACTATTATGGTGCAGTTTAGGAAATACTCTGCCTACTGCAATAGTAAACATAGCTTTTCAGTGGATATTTGCTGTCCCAAGACAAGCTGATATGACCATTGTGACTGTTCTCATTCTTGCCATTGGAGATGGTCTAGCAGAACCGATTGGAATTTACCTTGGCAGGCACATTTACTGGGTGAAAGCATGGTGCACTGTGGAATATCGTCGATATCAACGCACACTAGAAGGAAGTGCCTGCGTTTGGATTACATCGATTGTTTCTATCTCGATTTTTTTCTATTTATTTCAAAACCAAATTCAATTTTGGACGGCTATCATAATCTTACCACCATTGATGACACTTACTGAAGCGCTATCCCCACATACTTTAGACAATTGTATTTTACTTGTTGTAGGCGATGTAGCACTTCTTTTAATTGGACACCTACAACTTACCTGGAAATCACAATAAAACACCTTTCCATATAACACCTGAAGAAGGGTGTGAATGTGAAGAAAATAAAAACACCAAAAGCTACAACTAACAATGAATTTGCATAGTTTTGAATTCCATCAGATTTGTTATTATCAATGGAATTAAACCAAAAAACTTGTACTACATAACTAGTAGACCATGTGAGCCTATAGAACACAGTTTTACAAGTATAGTAAAAACTATTGTCTTGAAACTTTTTAGTTATTTAGTATTAACTGAGTACAATAATCTTGCAAATCTTTGCTCGGTATTCTTATTTGATATAAGCATTCCAATCCGTTCAAAATTCATAATTTCGTTGTTTCAGATGTTTTCATCTCTATTTTTAGCTCTGAACAATAAAGAAAGACTAAAAATGATAAACACTACACATTATTTTATGGGGCTAATCTTTCTTTTTCACAAGTTACCTTCATTCTAGCGTAGTACCACGTATGACTAAATTACATGTCTGCAAATTAAGATTTGTGTAAAATGAAATACGATTTACCACTCTGTTAAACATATGATCAATTTTTTATTTGATCAATTGTCATTTCCCCCCCCCCCTCTGACTCCATGTCGGACATCAGACGTATATAACTCCGTAAATTGCATCTCTAATTCATAATAAACTGCCACATATTTGTACTTTCTATTTGATTAGAGTATGTTTTTTCTTAATTAAGCATCATATTGAAATCATTTTGATTTGTAAATCTTTTCACTTTCATGACATTCAAGAATTACTCGACATATAAAAACCTAAGATTTTATTTTTCTTCTCAATTACTTGTTTTTTTTTGTAATAAATAAATTTTAGATTTTAATTAATGTATTAAATAATAAACATACATATATATAACAAAGAAGACAAAAAAAAAATACTTGAGCTGAATATATGTATTGCTATAAAACAATCAAAAGAAAACAAAATCACTGCATATATGCAAAAAAACAAAAAAATATTCATCTATGCGATGGTTGAGAAAAAAGATCTGGACAATGATCAAATATTCTTTGTTCATATTTATGTGTATAAATATATTCATCATTATCATCTTTTATAAACCATAATGCTTCAAAATCTTGATCACGTTTTCTTGCATCTGCTCGTTGTTGTTCTTCAAGACGATGTTTTTCAGTTGACGCTGCATCTATATCACCTTTTTCAAGATATTGTATATCTTGTCGATAACGACAATCTGTTGGTGGTAATATTAATGAACCTATTTGTTCATTAAGACGAATAGCAAATGGAGTAAAAAAATAATATTGATGTCTTGATGCTAATTCATTATCAGTCATAAATGAAAGATCTCGATACCAAATAAGACGTGATGATGGTAGAAGTATAAGATCACATGATGTTGATACTAATGAATTTGAATTAAGATGAACACAATTATGTCCACCAGCTGAACAACGAATAGTAGATGGTTTCAATTGAAGATCATTCATATTATCAATAGCATAATAACAATGACCATAATTACCATGAAATGCACCGAGTTTATTTTTACCTGAATAAAATTTAAAAAAAAATATTAACAGTTTGTTCTACATAAAAGATGAAGAAATTCAATGCTAATCATATCATGAATAAAAAGAATAACAAGTAATAGGTGCAAACTAGAGATCTGCTGAGTTACATGGTTTTCATGCCGAAGTTTTTACTCGTAAGCTAGCAAGGTATAAACGATCTTTATAAAATTTTTACTATAAATATGGCACTTAAAATAAAGCACAAAAAAAACAGATTGTTTGTGCTTTTGTTTCGTAATAGTTTAGATGTAAAGACTCAAACTCTAAATTGAGCTTTCAAGAATTTGTGATCAAAACCTTAGATCGATCAGATAAAGTTAGAAAGAGTTTGTAAAGTAGATTTTATGTAAAACTTCATACTTATCGATTGTAGCTGTCTTTTTTTGTTTCTATTTCATATTATCTAACTGTTTTCATTTCCTTGATATGACAATTGTCAAAAATGAATAAAAATAGAATTTTCGAAGTCTAATGCAAGACTCTAGTAAAGGCGAAGAGGATAATACAGCGCACATTTCAATTAAGATAATCAAGTTTTTCTTTTGACAGAAAAGTGAAGACTCTTATTAAGAATACTAAAATTTTCTATGACTTTTTTTTAACATTGAATAAGTTTAAAAAAGAAAAATTATTTGTAATTAAATAATATTTACCATCATAAATAAAACCTGTAAATTTAAACATTTCAGCTGTTTTAGTTGATTGTGATGCAAACCATGAATGTGATTTAATAGTAATAATTGATCGTCGATTTGATTGTGTATGTTTTAAATCAACTTGTCCTTGAAATTCACACCAAAGACGACCAAATAAAACATTATGAACAAGTACAGTTGGTGATTTCCATGTATATTCTTCTTCTTCTTCTATATTATCATCATTATTATTATGTTCTTCTTCTTCAGTACATGATTGAAAACTTGATTGAGATGATGATCGAGATAAAGAAGTTTTCTTTTTTATACGAAGTACCCATCGACCTAAAGAAAATATATTAATTTTTTGTTTTGAACAAACAAAAAAAAAAAAAAGAAAACAATTTGATTTCTTTTAACCTTCTGATATAGCTATAACATTTGTTCCATGAAATTTAACTTTTGGTTCAACATTTGCTGATAAAGTCCAATATTGACCACGAACATGAAGAGCTGATATAGGTGGATGATGACTAACTTGTTCAGCAATATAATGAAATGGTGCATTGCCTTCCATTTTTAATTCATATGTTTCACCTAATAATGGATTAAATGGTTTTGACATACGTTCAAGATGTGTTGATAATGTTGAAACAATAAAAGCCGTTAATAAATGAAATCTTTCAATAGATGTATTAGCTAATGCAGCTTGATCAAGTAAAGATGAATATTCTAAACATTCAGCTAAACGTTGAAGAAAACTAAGAGGTTCTAAAAAAGAAAAAGAAAATCAAATAAATTTAAAAAAAAAATTTCTTTTATGTTTTTTTTTGTTTTCAAACCATTCCAAATAACTGGTATAGAAAATCTTGTAAGATCTTTTCCAATAGCTTGTTTAATTACAGAAAATATTGAATATGATGATCGATCAAGCATTGGAGCTGGTAATGTTCGACGTGATGTTAGTAAATTAACAGCCATTTAAATAATATCTAAAATTAATTATCACACTGTGCATTTTTGTCTATTAGACAAAACAAAACAAAAAAAAAGAAAGATCTCTGATAAAAAAAATGAGAATAAAATATATATATATAAAACAATTATGTTATAAATCTTGGTAAACACATTTTTCCAGCAATTATTGCTGATATTACAGTTAACCAAGTTGCACCAATAAATGCAACATAACTTGAACCTATTCGATAATCAGTTGGTAATTGAAATGGTGAACCACCAATGATTTCTGAATCGAATCCCATAGGAAAAAGAATAGTTGAAAGACATAAAAAAATCACTATAAAAAAAAATCAATAATGAATTGTTTTCTTTTTTTTTTTACAATTTAAATATTTACTAGCAACAAATCCAGTTAATCGACCATATTCAACAGTTGATGTTTGTCTATATTGTGATGCAAGAAATAAAAGAACAGTTAATATAAGAAGACCAATAGCACCAATAGCAAGACCAAATGATATAATCCATACAGAACGAATATGATTTGGTATAAAACATTGTTGATCATGAGAAGTTAATGATGATAAAATACATATCTGAATTAGACCAAGTGATGTTTCACCTAAAATTAAGTTAATTAAAAAAAAAAAATTTTAGTGAAAAATGTTACATATATAATGACTGAAGTAAATACATGCAAACAAAAATGAAGATCAATGACATATGGGAGTATTGGAATGTCAATGACTTTATTTTGAGACTTCCTGTTATTTTCAAATAGGAAACGAACAGAAGTTACTGAAAAATCTTGAGACATTTCTGAACGGATACAATGATTTTCACGTATTCTTCTAATCAGTTCCGACCAAACCTACTTGTTTCCGGAGGCCGGAATTATCAACCATATTAAAAATGTTTCGTAGATGAAAACTAATACAGATTCAGAACACATGATTCTCTTATCGAATTTCGACGACCTTTCGATAAGATCTAATCAGATTTATTTATATTTCAATTGAAATGATTATATTACGGAAGATAATTTTTAACTGACTTAATTATCGAGGTGAATGATGAATAACTAGTTCCGAACGGAAAATGGTAAGAACTTGGAAACAAAACTAATGATCGGATGCTCTCGTATCCTATCAGAGCCACCCACTAGAATAATTAGTATGGGTAGATAGGATATCTTTATTCGTAGTAGGTCCTTCATATCAAATTCTATTTATATTAGTTCGATTTGCTTAGAGAATATACTGATCTTTGTTATCTACAATAGACTAAGACTGTCTAATTTTATGTTGCTTACATTCTATCATCATTACTTAAACACTTACATTGTGTGTGTATTTGATCTTATCAATAGATCACCTTGTCTATAGGTTACAACATTTCAAAGTCCAACACATGAATTGTTTCTCCTTTGATAAAATACACAAAAATAAGAACAAGTACATATGACATATTATTTTTTTCCCATGTTTTTCTGAGAAATAGCATAGTTACTCGTAAGAAATGTTAATAAAACATTCGTTGCACAACCTGCTGTTTATTTACATTCGAGACGTTTTATTAACAAATTAGAAAATATTTATCTATCCTTGATCATCGTCTCTACTCATACAAAGTTAACAAATACAAGAAACAAAAAATTCAAATATTCGAAAAACTAACGAACATATTTTCTTATTAAATCATATGTTGATATTGTTTGAACTCATGTAACATAAATTTTTTTTTTCTCGGTCAAAGAATCATACAGTACATGATAAGAATGAACTTTGAATTTATTTTCTTTTTTTTTTTCGTATATGAATAATATTATAAAGGTAGAAGACATATAGAATAATAATTTCAATTTCAAATATTTACAAGAAAATAGATAAATGCGTATATTTATTATTTACCTTCATTAATAGATAAAATCCATCGTGGTCTTGTAATACTAATAAGAACAAGTAGAGCAGCTATAGTAAATGATGCTGTTGAAAATAATACAAGTCGATCTAATGTAACCATGTTATAAATTTTTAAAGCATCTTTTTTAATAACAGAATAGAAAATGAATATTCTTTTTTCAACTCTTCAACTCAGTTGAATATGATATATGATAATAAGAATATTATTTCATTGGTTCGTAATTTTTATCCTATAGAAAAGAAATGTATTAACCTCTATATATGAATTGTTTGTTTTATATAATATGATAATAGTTTTAATTCTGACTCATGAATAATAGGTCATGTCATGATATATTATTGTTAATAAATAAAAATATTTAATCATAATGAAATATTTCGAGAGATTATAGATAATATTGAATTATTAAATTTAATGTTTTATTGAATTTTTTCAAATTAATTGATAGAAAAATTTAATTTTGTATTTTATTGAAGAATTTTCATGTTGAATAATTGTATGGGAAGATGGAACTAGAGGGGGAAGGTCAAATAATATCTAGATGTAGTATGTTAACATCATCCCATGAAATTCTTTCTCTTTTGGTGGTAATTTTTTTTCTTTATTGATCACGCAACTCGAAATTCCGTCTTTTTTGAATTAAACTTGTTTTTTTCTACTATTATATCAAAGAGTACTTGAAGAATTCGAGTATCATTGTTTGAGATATTTCTTGAATAAATAAAAACTTGAAAAAAAGAAAAGAAAAGAGCTGTCATGTCTTGCATCTTAACATACTCTTGTAAATAGAAAAAAAAAACAAATTAAGTATATAGAATGAACTCGCATCAATAATTTAGAGTTGTCAAATGAGTTATTTTTAACTTTTGTTTGTTGACATATGAAAAGTTCATACGATTTGAATGTACGTGATCATTGATGAATAAAAATTCGTTTTTTTTTCTTTCTTTATTGTAGATTGTATCGAAATTATTATTATTTAATAATAACAAATGAGTTTTTCAATAAGTAAGTTGATAAACATTACAACATTGAATTATTTAATCTGATAATCTGATATTAAAATATTGATTGAATTCTATTTAAACGAATGCATTATTATTACGGTTCTTGTATTGTTGAGTTTTTGACATTATCAATTAAAGAAAGATGGTTTTTTTAAAAATACTTTGATAGTTATTCTATCTAACCAAAAATTAAAAAAAATTCACTTTTCTTTTCAATCGATCTATTAAGAGCAAGTATTATAAACATATTAACAAGAAAACGATGAGAATATTCATATATACTAGGATGCTGCATTGAATCAGGTTAGTAAACTCGACGAATTCACTCCTATGCAAGATAATTTGAAAAACTTTTCCATGCTATTAATTCAGTGTGTGTAAACAACACACACATTAAACTAACCAATAGTTACTGTACTTGATTCGTTGGGTTTAACGATCATCCAGTAGGATGTAGGATTCTGTTCTTTATCACTTGTTGAAGTTGCCTAAGCTGTTAATTCTTTTGTCAAAATGTAAAATTCACATAATTTCTATGTGAATATCGACAATATATTGTAGACTACATTTTAAATATATTTTAGATCAAAGAAGGTCAGAAATGTACGAGGTATGAATCTATATTTAATCATTTGATTTATCATTATTTATTTTATTTTCATAGGAAGTTCGTTTATGGAAAAACTCTCGTGTACGTGAACGGTAAAAGATAATTAAAAACTTACAATATTTAAATTCTTTCATTAATTTTTTCAGATATGATAATATGGCTGATGTATTTTCAATAATAACAACATTACAAGCACTTGAAAAAGCTTATATCAAAGATCTTGTTGAACCAGTAGAGTATGTAAAAAAAAAAATTTTACATAGAATTTTTTTTAAAGTCATATCAAATTATAGATATACAAAAAATTGTGAAAATTTGTTAGCTAAATTTGTCGCTGCATTTCGTGCAATTGAAAGTGAATTTCCTCGTATTGAAGATTTTGTTCGACAATATAAAGTAATATTTATTTCATCTATCAATTAATTATTATATAAATAAATTAGCTTGATTGTCCAGCAGCTTTATTACGTATTCGTGAAGGTCGTCCAATAACAGTTCGTGATGATCGTGGTAATATGGGTAAAGCTATTGCAGAAACTGTTTCAGTATGAATATGAAATAAATAAGTAAAAGAAATATTAAATGTTTTTTTTTTATTTAAATAGCTTTTTATTAATCTTATGGATAAACTTAAATTAAATATTCGAGCTAATGATATGGTAAGATTAAAATAAAAGTAATGAATAAAATTTTTGTTTTTTAGCTTCAAACAGATGTTCGTGATTTGTTAGATGTTATTAATCGAATGAATTTAATTCCATCAAATTATATTGGTCGAGAAAAAATTCCAAAATGGTAAGAATAAAAAAAAAAGAAAAAAAAAACAATATATTTGTATATTGTGGAATGAATGTTTAGGTTGAATATATTAGAAAAAATGAATGCAGCTGAAGAAATAACTGACGATCAAGCACGTCAATTTCAAATGGATCTTGAAATTTGTTTTAGTGAATTTAATCGACTTCTTTCATCGAATGGATAAATTAGATTTATATTTAATGAATTTTTTTGTTTTTTTTTTTATTATTTTCTATTTTTTCAATTCAAACAAAATGATATGAATAAGATTATGTGTCGACAAAAAAAAAGAGAAATAAAATGATTCAATGCTTAATTTTTAACAAATACTGTCATTCAATTTCGTTCTATAATATTCTATTTTTCAAGTATTTCTTCATATATTCAGAAACATCTCAGAACCAAAAAAGAAATGGGTTACATATTGAAAAACAAAACAATTCATCATAACTCATTCTTTATTTTTATTGAAATGATTAAGTTTTCATGTAACACGTATGTTTTGTTTTTTCCAAAGGTCTCTTTCAGATGATTTATACTTATCATAATGAAACAGCTGGCAACAGTGAAGAAAGAAAAAATTACGTTTCAATGCGTTTTGATAAAATAATGAGGAGTGATGAAAACTATTTAAATTGAGATCTGAAAAATCAAGAACACCAAATCATGTATGCAACAAGTGCACATAGTTGAATGTCTTCGATTGAAGAATATTCAGTAAAAGTCAACTTAAAATTGTCTACTATGCAAAACATATATCTCTTCAAATCTATTTATTTCAAAAAATATCGGTTAGACTTGATGAAGAAGAAGGTATTGAATGTCTTTGAAAAAATAGAATGAGCATATATGAATATATGTTTCAAACAGTTATCATACAAGTTGTGTAGCCGTAAAATTCGTGAGATCTCTAAAAGCTTCTCTTATCGGAGATCAGTATTTCATATACTTAGAACTGTTTTACTGATTTACCTGTGAGTGTCAATCATAACAAGACTCACGATTACTCTCACTCGGACTCCGAATAGAGTTTTTTTTTTTTGATGAATCCATCTTAGACTTCTAATTCATTAAAGTGAAGTTTCGTATTATAATACAGTGGTCTAGAATGCTTGTTTGTATGGTTTTGTCGTTCATTAATTCAATGAATCATACTCATATAATATAAAGTCGAATGGCTTCTAAAACTTGGGTATGTTCCCTTGTAAATTTAAAATTCACCTATTTCTTTAGTAGATTAATGAAATCAATTCTATGGATACGAACATAAAAGAAAAACTTGTTTGCAAGCAGGAAAATTATACTAGAGGACGTCTTGTATAACGTAAAGGCATTAGTTAGATTGTATAGACACAAAAACGGATTATCTATGAAATATTTTAAAGAATTAGAAAAATATTAAGGGAATTAAATGATTGAAGCATTGATATACTGGATGTTGCTTTCATATTAAACAAAATTTTACCGATAGTTGAAAATATAAGAAAAAAAAAATACTAGCATCCTTTCTTCTCCCAGTCATTTATTTTTATATCGTTCAAGAAATGGTGCAAAACAGTTCAATATTGTTTAGAATATCTTTTGCTGTTAGGTTTTAATGAGTGCGTACAAGTATTTAACGTTGTATAGTTGCGTCGAAATATCTAATCAAAAACAAGCATTGTGATGACGGAACAAAATATTCTCTTATTTGCATTGTCTCTCTTTCTTGAACATTTATTTCCTTAGTCAGTGCTTCTCACAAACAAATTCTTTTATTTACATATGTCTACAACGGATCGTATTGTTTGTGTCTTACTCATTGAATAATAAAACGAGACAATAAGTAGAGGACTAAGAAGAAGATAAACGATGCATATTGGTTTCTAGATTGTGAAATTGCATCAGATAGACAACAGACCCGTTACATTGAATGTGAACAACGATCTTGTTTTTCTCATTTAACTGAACATTGATGAGAACCTCGAAAACGAATGATTGAAGTTGTGGACGGGCATCATCATCTGCGAGAAGTTCTCAATTTACAAGGCAGTGCAAATCAGCTTTTGTTTCGAATGGACCAATGGAAACAAACATGAATTCAAAAGATACGGTCGAGCAAATATTTACACCGAAAAAGAACTAAACAGATGATTTAGGGGATTGGAGCAACTGCAATAAATGCTTGAGAACCCATTGACATTGTGAAGAAAAATCATTTATGATAATTTCCAAGTGTACTCACTAAATATTATTTATGCGTGTTTCAAGATTAGACGCCACTCAGTATTGTTCAATGACTTGTTATGACTAATAGCTAGTACGAGTGCCAAGAATTTCGAATTTAGGCACAGAAAAATATCCTTAGGTTCCTACATCTATAGATCTGTAATTAGAATTTAGCTAAGACCAAGGAATGTGATCAACCTCAGAAGCACATCTGATTGATACCAACTACATATTCATGAGAATCAAAGGCCAATGACACAACTAATGTAAGATAAGTTGCTTACTTAGTATAAATACAAAGAAGTCTAGCTGAAATTAATTTCCTTTTTATAGTTCTTGACATATTATAGATGTTGAGATCGAAATAGATACTCTTCATTCTTGATAGTGGAGTGTAGTTACGATATGATCAAGTCTCGCCTTGCTTTGAGACTCTTTGAAGAGCTGAAGCTACACTAGGTTGACAACTATATCAAGAAAGAAAGTACAGCACCTAAGCATCCAGTTGATATTAATACGACGCTCAAAAGTTGGAAAAAATAAAAATACAAGCAATATAATAGCCTCTGTAAAAGAGACTGACGGTACTATACCGCACCTATGTACAGATCTGCACGATGCCACTGAAGTTCCATGAAGTCTATGTTACTTCAACAGAAATTTTGCAATGTACTGTAAGAATACAGGCGGCGGATAGGTTATTCTTTTCTGGATAAACCACACCCAAGTCATATTAGATTTTTCCCTTGAAATGACGACTCACAGAACTATCTTGAATTCTATTGACTTCCGGCATCATTTTGACAATTTAATTTTTAAGAACTTTAATTATTAGATTGTAAATACTAATGCAAATATCCTTGAAAACTCACTGAACAATAGAAGACTTGAATTCTTCCATAGCAAGTCGGATTAACTTCTCTTCTTTATATTTCGATAATTAATATTAAATCTTGATTAAAAAAAAAACTTTTCCTATATAATCAAATTACGTCTGCATACAATAAACCAACTCAGCTACTAAATTATAATTTAAATTTTTGCAATAGAAGATTAAAATACCTATTAAAAGAACAGTACATACAATCATTTAAATGAAGACAAAATTAGTCGAATACACACAGGAATGGTTTCACCGCAAAGAACGTCGGAGATGTTACACCTCCCTAATCAAGAATACTTTTTTTTCCTACGGAACTGAAAATCTTTCATGCGTTCTCTTAAAAAAAAAATCATGACACCTTTATTCTCATGTTCACTGCTTCGGGTCAATCCTAAAATAAACATACTGAAAATGATATACCGATATCGAATGACCTGTATTCTCATTATCGATAGTATTCAAAAAGAGATGAAAATAAACTCTGTTTATTTTCTCTCTTGAAATTTCTAAAAACTTATCAATTTTCACATAGATGCAAAATCTCTGTCACACATTCATACAATATTAAATACGTGTTAAAATACAAAATTGATTATTAATTTTTTTTTTATAACGAAATTATTCACCTTGAGAAAAAAAAGCATATAAATGTTTTTTTTTTCGTCTGTTGATTAGTCATAACAATTTTTCTTTTACTCATTCTTGAATAGATTATTTTTTTTCTCATAACCTTAAAATATTATCAATAGTTTTTGTTTTGTTCTTATAGATAAAAAAGAAAAAAAAATAATTATAAATTATTTAATAATCAATTTATCTTTTCAAATAGAAAGAATGTGAAATAGAAAATCTGTACTTTTACTCTTTAAAAAGAAAAAACCAACGAAAAAGTTAAAAAAATCAAAGAAATAAGTGATGGTTGAATTATTTTTGCTGAATTATAATACCATTCAGGACGTCGATGACCTTGATTCCAATTAGAATTAGTATTCCAAGCATAATTTTGATTTGGATAACGATTATGATAATTATTTACCCAACCTTGTCCACCTGGTCCATAAAGTCCATATCGATTTCCATATTGTTCAGCATATTGATATGGATTATGTTGTCGACGATGACGATTTGATTCAGTTACTTGAACAAAACAATAAATAAATATATATATATATATTTTTGGGAATAAGATCATTAACAATTAATTGTTCAAAATATTCTTACTTGAGATAAGAAGACATACGACAAGGAGGAATAAAAATTTCTTCATGCTTCTGATTGATTGTACTATGCAATAGAGAAAATAGTTCTCTTCTATTTATCCTTCCTACTACAACTGTCAACAACAGTATTGTGCAGACATTCGTTCTGTCTTTGTGTCGCTGTGCATATAGATGTGTACGAAAAAAAAAAGGTCATACAGCGGGTAGTTCTCTTTCTATTTTTTCTTTTTGTGCTATTTGGATGCGATGATTCAATCATTCGTATCGATCTCTTTCTCTCTTTATATGCTAAAGCTTCATTAATGAACCAGAAGACAGAATAGAGAACAAAAAAAAGAGAATTTTTTTGTTTGAGTAAAACTAATGACAGGAATTTTTTCTGTCTATGAACAACGTGCCTGTTTAGCTCAGTGGTAGAGCGTCGCTCTCGTAAAGCGAAGGTCACAGGTTCAATCCCTGTAGTAGGCATCAGAGTTTTTTTTTCTTTTCTGTTCTGCAAATAAACCTACTAACGATTCTTTTATATGACGAGCATTGAGTTTTTTTTTTTTTTTAGTCAGAAAATAGGAAAGAAATAAAATGCCAATATCACATTCAAGTATAATATGTAATAGAAGTTTGAAATAATCTATATTTAAATTTATTTTATTTTTGTGAAAAGAATTTAAAAAAAAAATGAATGTTTTTATTAAGAAGAATTAAATAATATTGTTTGTTTTTTCATTATATCAGACTTTGAAAATATTTTAAAAAGTTATTGTTTTTGTTGTTGTCGAAAATGAATCAGAATACGTTGTAATAAATCATTTGTAACATTAACTCGTTCGAATTTTGTTGAAGAATTATTCATATAAGGTTTTATTTGAAATAAAAAATCTTCTCTATGAACGTTGTTTTCATATATTAATTTCCTTGGTTTCATCGTAGAAAAAGGCTTGATAGCATTAGTAATACAATGTTTTTGTTCATACATGGCAGCTCTTTTTTGTTTATGACGAGAGATTGATGGCTATAAATCATGAAAAACAAAATAGTTTCAAGTTAATGATTCACGAGAGAAAAGTTAAGTTGTATTATTTCTCCTATAAAAAAACTCCTCCATTTTTTTTAATAATGTATAGTGATAGAATTGATTGTTTTAGAATTGCAAGTGATGTTTTCTTTGAGAGATATCAGAAATTTGAAATTTTTATGTTCAATTTATTTAGTATCATTAGATGCCTATGAATAACTACTTTTTCGATTTTTGATGCCAAGTTTATTTTACTTTTTTTCGCACTTTGTATAACATTATAAGAATTTTTTCATGATTGCGCAGACAAAATTCACGACAAACACATATGTCCATAAGATTTCTTTGGTGAGCGTCGTCTCCATAATTAGAAAATAAATATTCATGATAGTGAACAATTCTAATCATGATATTTAGAATTTTTGTCTTTTTTTTTCAGTATTTACAGAAAAAACTTCTTGTCAAAACTTTGAAAAATATTTTGTTTCTTCCAATAACTCGATACGCTCTATCCAATGACATTAAATAAATTAAAAACAAAAGTTTACTAAAATTTTGAATTTTTGTCATTTTACTAACTTTTTCTTGTCGAACATAATTATATTCCTGTTGATAATATACAAATGATGTTTGTTTAGTATTAATCGTTTTTTTCTTTGTACGTTGTTGTTGAACAAATTTAAATATATGTTCAGTTGTCTGATCAACAATAGGATAAATATATCCATCTGATGAACGATATAAAATATCAGTTAATGAATTAAGAAAATCTGTTATTGTTGAATAACCGAATATATCATAAGGTAATAAACGTTGAGAATTAAATAATGAATAATCATGACATAATTCATCTTCTGTAAGACCATTTTTTGATGAAATAAGTAAAGAACGAATTTCAATTTTAATTTCATTTAATAATGATAATGTCATTGTTTAAATGTGTAGAAATGTTTTCCTTTTGATTGTTTAAATATTAAATTGAATAAAGGATAAATGATAGAACGAATAGAAGATAAGAATTCGATTTACTATAAGACAGATGTCACTTACAAAAAGAAAGTTAATTACTCGTGGCATTGTCCTCGTATCGTAAAATTTTCTGAATCGAAATTCTAATCGTTCTATACAGAAGTCTTTCAAAAATGCAAAGAATCAATATAGAGAAATAGGGGTGTTTTCTGACCGAAAGACTTGGGAAAATGGTAGGTACTTAGAAGCAAGGATTCGATGACCAGTTCTGCCTCAAACTTCGATCAAAGCAGCCGGATTTTGAAAATTTTTCGAATTTGTTTCAATGATTTACGGCTAGAAATAGCAGGAAGTTGGCCGCAAGTCATTAGAAAAATTTGAAGAACTCCCGATATGGAATATTGCCTCTAATTTTCATGGGTTTCCGATGTTGTTCTATCGGAATCAGTATAGTTCTAATGATAGTCAAATTTGAGTCTTCAATAGAGATCAGCGATTTCCATTAGTAAAAACAAAAAAAGAATAAGATTAGTTTCAATTTGTGTTCTTTCAAATAAATATCTTTGGAATCGTTCATGTAATAATAGTAAACTGGATAGTTGATATAACAATTTTCAAGTTATATTTTATTTTTGAGAAAAATAATTTCTTCGAAAGATACAATAACAAAAAATAAAAAAATGCAAAAGTCATGTTTGTTAATCAATGGCATAATCTTCTTGTCAATAAAAAATCGTACTGAGTTTAAACTTGACGTATACATTGGAACTATATCGTTACATATAAAACAAAACTTCAGCTTAACATATTTTAGTATATTTATCATATCCATTTGTGATATCTATCGTATCTATAATAGTCTTCAGTTGTTTTGCTACTTCTTAGGCATATATTAAGTAAGAAAAATCCTTACGAAAGCTAAGAAATTCTATGAAAAACAAGTTTCCAAACAAGAGAAAATATTCGAGCTTATCTCTTACTGTGATAGAATATTGCTAGAGACATATTAACTACTTCGAGAAAAACTGTCTTCTATGGCAAAAACTTCGCTTTTATCATGAGTATAACTCAAAGCCATAATAGTTATGAAAGGATACATCGAAATATCTCAATATTCATTTATCTAAAAACGTGATTTTTCGACGAAGCTAGATTTTTTCAAGGCTCTTAATCATACTTTAAGCTATTTTCAAGTTCTCTTTCTATTATATGATGACAAATACACGTAGTTCATCGCTGGTGCAATCGTAGCTTGATCGTTTTGATTTTAGATTATGCAACACTTAAACAATTCTTCAGTTATAAGTAAACAATATTTTCTGTTCAAATAATTTTGGTTCCGTTTTTTTCTGAACCATTGAGCTCTACTGTAAAAACAAAATTGCAAGTCAGATTCAATAGCTATTACATGAGAGCTAAATTCCAAAAAGTGTTATGGAATTATTAATGTAGAAATTTGGCTACATCCTGAAATACTTTAAAAAAGATAAAGTCAGACGAATCCATTATGTGTATAAACATATTTTCAGCTGAGCTGTTCAATCTTTTTTTTTGTAAACTTGGTTCATATTGCAACTAGCACTGCATAATATATTCATACAAAAAGTCCTATATTAAAGCTTTTTAATAAACAATGATTTCACTAAAAAGAAAATCTTTCTAGATTTTCGTGAATTTTCTGAAACTCTATCATAAATGTTCATACCAGAGACCAAAACCGAACCCGAATTGATTGAAAAAAAATTAGTTCAACCGAATCAAACCCGAACTCGAGCCATTTCTTGATAAACTCTATCAAACTAAAACAAGTCAAATATAATGCAAAGAGAAAGAGTGAATGTTTTCTAACGTATAAAAAACAATCGATTGAACTAATTACTCTTCGATTCTGAAACGCCATGCAATAATCAATGATCAAACTACGTTTGATCGTAGATGTAAAATGTATAATTTGATCATCATATAAATTTATGTTTTCTTGTAACACAATTACACTAATTATATTTATGACGATCAATCAGTTGCATGCAGTGTATGTCTTTATTTCAATCTTTTTGCTTCATTATTGTTTTTTTTTAACGAAACAACGATATGTTTGGTTGGCCGTAGAAATGTCGAAAGGAAAAATATCGAAAGGAAAAATGTCGAAAATAGAGGCGCCACTTATCGCATCACTCACATGTTTTCTGGCGCCTCTGTTTTCGACATTTTTCCTTTCGACATTTTTCCTTTCGACATTTCTACGGCACACCATATGTTTCTGTCGCTAAGCACATAGTATCATTCTTAAAAGAGTTGATTTGTTGTTATTTTCTCTTGAATCGTGTCTCATCCTTATTTTATAAGTAGAACTGCGGGAAAAACAACATCGCAGCATCCACACTCTTTGATATGTGCATGTGAGTTACACCGATTAGTGTAGAATGTGTTCTTATTCTGCATTAGTACCGCCAAGAAAACAAAATAAGAAATGACGATAAATATTGTTAAATGAATTGCGTATTCGATACGATCTTTCCAAAGACTTAGTGATTCGGAATTCAAAATAGTTATTGGTGAATGTTTACCAACAGACATCGAAAACGAACCGAACCGAACTCATATCAGTCAAATTCAATTCGTTTCGGTCTCTGGTTCACACACATTAACATCAGAAAGTATTTTTCTGGTTTCAAACGAAATGACTTTCAATGAAATGAAATAATCAATAATACCAAACATTAGAAACAATATTTACAAGATACCTTACACAGGATCGGTTAGATTTCGAAAAAAAAAACACAAATCGATCCCATCTTTGCAAGTTACTAATTAAGGATCTTATCACAAAATATTAACAGAAACTCTAGAAAATATTATAAAACACTATAAAAAGAATGCATTCAGTAATCTTTTTGAAACATGATCTAGCAGGAGTGTCGAAGCATAAATAACGCTTCGTAAGTTCTGGGCTTCAACGAAAATTAGTTTATATACAAACAAAAACATAATCTCCATCCAACACTATATCTATATAAGTTTCCAATACTTATGAAAATGTTTTAAATGACATTATCTCTTAAATGCTACATATCACTTCCTATCTCATTGTGTTACGCTCTATACAATAGAGTCACAGTTCATTAAAACCATAACTTATAGGACACCCTTTATAAGGCAAAAATGTTCACTTGTCCGTCATAGACTATAAGAGAAATTATCAAGGAGACTTCATAGACTGCGACAAAAACATTTTAACAACATGCCTTCACTTTATGTCATAAATCGTAACAGACATTATAATATATGAACTACTTCCTTATTATATTTTTGTATGACTAAGTAAAATGATGGTGAAGAAGTGCATCTCAAAATAGCTAGAATAAAACAATATTCTTGTTATTAACAGCAACAACTATATCGTGTGCCATAGTTTAATCTTGCAAGAAGCATGCTAATAGCTTTTTATAATGAAAGCTAATCTTTTTTAAACACCTTTCATATATGAAATAACACTTTAATGGGAATAAAATGAAACGATAAAAAATAATTTATGCAAATCGTTTAGATTATTTTGGACGGATTTTTTTTTTAAATTTTCTGTATGAAATTAACTTGTTATTCTGAATATAAAAAGTGAGAATTCACTCGTTTAGACTTTCTCTATCTGTTGTAATTACAATATTGTTCAACTATACAAAATGTTTACGTACAATTGAAATGCTTTTGAAGATATTTCAATTTATACGTCTCAATTCTTCTATATGTTAGTTTTTCAAGGACTTTTGTTTAAACATTTCCACATGAATTGAATTTAATTCTAATAAAAATGAATAAGAAAAAAAAAAGTTTCTAATGTTGTTTTTTTGCATCGTAGAAGAAAAAGAAGCAGTAAATAAATGACAAGAAAATTTTTTATTATAATTCATTAAAATATCTTCTAAATTTTTATACTATTTATTATAGAATCGTTTGATTTTTTTTGTTGTCAAGCGAATATCGATATGTTTATATCATACGAGATTCATACAATATGTACTTTAGTGCCAAAGAAAAAAAAGTCATGATTTAATCTAATATTTTTGTCCTATTTGTCAATGTTATTTTATAAGTTCTGATTCATGTCTTATTCCATTATTCTTTTGCTTTCTTTAGAGCGAATAAATATTGGTCTGTGAGAAAAAAGAATATAAAGGATTTATTTGTCTTCCATGTCGGCTTTATATCCATTATTTGTCTGCCATGATGATATACTCGACAAATTGAGTTAGCTAGAAACCTGATAGATGGATTTTGTTTTTATCTTTGTTTGCGACTAGCATTTAAAGAGGATTGAAAATGCAAAACTATCCAAACAAAACAAAAACACGATCGAATGGTTGGTCAATATCAGAGAAATAAAGATGATTACAATACGCTTTCATTAATACGAGATGTCGTACGTTTGTGTTATAATCCAAATGTCAAAGTTAATAAAAACTTAGCATTTTAGGAAGGAATCCAAAATGCAATCTTGCCTTTTTATGTTAATTAGTTTTTGAGTTGTTGATAACTATTATTTCGAATAGTTTAACAATGAAAACATATCAACACTATTTTCACTGAAAACCTAGTATTGATTTTTAAGTATATCATCAGACATTTATTCAATTTTTGCACATTACTTTCAAGAAATTATGATTACAAAAAAAAAAAATAATTAATTATACGATTATTTGATCTTATCAATAGTAAAAATGTTTATTATATTATGAGATTCTTAGTCATGACCAAAACATATACCAAGACAAGCAAATATATATATAACAACATAAATTCCACATGTAATTAACATGCCAACAGCACAACCAAGTTGAGCTTGAATTAGTTTTAATTTATCATATGGCCTAGATGGACATACTTTCGATGATATTGAACCATCCATTATAGCTCGACCACATTCATCAAAAACAGCTGAATAATTACTTCGTAATGATTCAATACCACGAACTGCACAACATAATTGATCACCCAAATAACATTTACAAAGATCATTTATAAATATTCGATCAAAATATATTATAACACAAGCTAATATACCACTGAGTACTAAAATAAAATAATAATTAATAATAAAAATTAATAATAATTTTTATTTACTTGTCCATAAAAAAACATATGTAGCACAGCAACGACCACGACAACAACAAGCTAGAAAAGAAAATCTTATAAGAAATATTTATTAAAAAAATAAAATAAAATAACGTACTAATAAATAACATTAAAAGTAATGTTTTAATAAAAACAATACCAGCCCAAAATCCAACCCAAATTGTTCCATGTGCAAGATCTATATAATTTGAACCTACTTCTAAGCCAATAATTGCAGCAGTTAAAACAAGTTGAGCAACACCTATAATTGCTGAACTCCATCGAGGAAAACGTTCGGCAAAACCCATTATATATGTGTGCTTAGTTCTTTTTTTTTATTGTAAAAATCAACCGTTGAACAATCTAAATGTAATGAAATTTTACAAGTTGTGTCGATGTTATTATATATTTAAAGTCTTTTTTCAGGAGAAAGAAATATTAAAAAGAAATAAGTAGAATGTTCTTTCTTTTTACAAAAAAGAGAAATGAATGACACCTATGTAAAAAAAAATAATAGTAACGGAAGCAAAGTGGCCGATTCTGTCGCACGATACTCGACAAGAGAAAAAAAACAGAATATTGGTCGTCGATGATGGTTCTTCTTAACAGAAACGGTTCTTTTTCTCTGTCTTCCTCATCAAAGAATACATTACTCTTTCCCACCTTTCACGTAAAGTCTGCCGTTGTCAGAAGCACAGCTGTGTCGTGTTTTGCCATATTATTTATGCCTTTAAATGACTCACAGAATAACTAATATTAAAAACCTAGTTCTTTCATTATTAGAAATGACAAGAAATTCTTCGTCTTTTTTTATTATTCTCTCTTAAAATTTTATTAACATAAAAGTACATAAAAACAAAAAAAGAAAGTTTTTTTTTTCATAATGATTGTGTTAGTAGTCTTTTATCTTCATTAAGTGTATAGACACCATCCTTTTTTATTAATTCACATATTTCACAATTATCTAATGCTTTCAAACTATTTAATTGATCGACTGTCCAACGAAAATAACGCATGAGAAATAAACGTATGAATAGTTCATGTGATACAATCAGTATATTTTGTGTTGAATCATGATGTCCATTATCCATTTCACGAAATAATGAATCAA